CTCTCTCTCTCTCTCTCTCTCTCTCTCTCTCTCTCTCTCTCTCTCTCTCTCTCTCTCTCTCTCTCTCTCTCTCTCTCTCTCTCTCTCTCTCTCTCTCTCTCTCTCTCTTATCAGTAACTTGGGAGTCAACCAATTTGAAGGCACCATTCCGGCAACATTCTCGGCCCTAACTGGCCTGACTGCAATGTTAGTTTCATATGTCCTCTGTGCTTCCATTGTCCCACCCTCACTCTGTTTGTCCTTGTCATCGTCCCTTCCTCACTCAGTGCACCACTTGTTTCCTGCCCCCCCCTACTGCAGAGACCTTTCTTTTAATCAACTGTCTGGTACAGTTCCCCCTGCATTTGCCACCAGCATCCAGTTAATGTACGTCACGTCACTATTCCCACTCACTGTATGTCACTCTTCCCTCCGATTCCAGCCAATGTATGTCACTTCCCTCTGCCTCCAGTCAATGGATGTCACGAGCGTAACCGCAGCACAGTCTACTTCCCATACCGTCATGATTCAGTATGTTTTCAAAAATCAGCTTCCCTCCTTTCCTTCATGCATTCCCTGCTGAGGGATTTTTCTTTGCGTCGTTAGATCTTCCTGTCCTTTGTTTCTGTGCTTGGAGCTCTCATGCTTTTTCTGTCGAGGTCCAATTGCTTTTGCATAAGGCAAAAGACTCAGGCGTCCATTAACCTTGGTGCTTTCAACCAATCATGCAGAAAGCCATGAAAAAGTATGTAGCTGCAGAACCATGCACCCTCACTTGTGAAGGAGCCACCCGCCATTCCAGTGGGATGGTCTGCACCAGTGCTTTCACACAGGCTTACGAACAAATTCCTGAATTCATCCAGCTCCTTGCCATGTAACGAGGCTCCCCCGCGAACCATTCCAAATTCCCTCCCGACCGTAACCCAAACCACTTCCCGTCTAATTCCAATCACCCCTATGTGATTCCCAATCACTTCGTTGCTGGTTCGATATCCCACGCTTGCACCACCAACATTTCAACAATTGCTGTTGTATGGCTTCCTGCCTTACCTTGCCATGCCAAGCCACAACAACCATCCCATTCTCACTCCCTGTTTTTCCCTTTTGATCCTCTCTCGTATTCTGCTCCCATTCTTACAGCATTTTCACGTTCAACACCCCTCCCCCCCCCCCAAAACTTCAGTTTTCCATCCTGTCGCTCTTGTCTTGATCTGACCATCAGCCCCTTCAACCCTCCCCCCCACCTTTCACTTTTGCCCTGCTTTGTACTTTCGAAACCTTATTCCCCATGGCCTCGCATCCTTTGCTCCACTCTTCCCCTTTCTCTTGTTGCCTCCTGTCTTGACTGCCTATCCATATTCCTCCAATACAATGCCTTCAGTGGGCCCATCCCACCACACCTGCTGGCACTGCCCAACCTCGCTCAGTTGTGAGGCCCCCATGTTTGCCCATTTTTTTCGCACTCATCTTCTAACCTCCAGACCTATACAACCCTTGGGCTCTCCTCCCACGTGCACTCTTGGTCTCACCTCATTACTCAAATCTTGTGTCGCTCCATTTTTCAAACTGCAATATTCCTGTTCGGCTGCCCTGGCTGCATGCAGTGAACTATCCAACAATCAGTTCACAGGAGCTATCCCCAGCCACTTCACTCGCCTCACTGAGATGTTTACTTTGTATGTGTCTCCCCAAGCTGAGCTCCAGGGAGTTTTTGAGAATTCTCAAAAACTTCACTGAGATGAAACATCTGTATGTGTCTCTCCAAGCTGCGCTCCCCCCCCATATACCTCTCCCTGCCCCCACCCCACTACATGAAACTGCTGCATGAACAGAATTAATTGGAGGGCCTCACGTGTTACGTACTTGTTTCATTATTTCCCCACCATGCCCTGGGCCTCATTCAGGGATGTTGGAAACAACCATTTCACTGGAACCTTCCCTGATTTTATTATGCGCCAGCCGGACCTTTTTTACCTGTAAGACATCCACTTGTGCCGTTGAACAAAAGCGGGTTGCACTAAAGGAGCAAGAACGGAAGCAAAGCAAAGAACCGAGCATAACCGGCTCGCTCTCGTTTGCTTCGTTTCCAGCGGAACTGCGCATAAGAGCCTTTTATTCCTGTACTGCATCCATGCATGACCTCAAACAAAGGAGGGTTGCACTGATGAAGTAACTGCTACCATTTCTTGCCGTACTTCCTCCTCATATGGTACTCCTCCTCCATTTCTTGCAGTACTTCCTATAGCAACTACTCCAACAACTCAAATAGCAAGCAGAATGAATATGGTCATGGCAGGAACTTGGCCAACAACAGTTTCACAGGGACTATCCCCCGCGAATTGACCAAGCTTGTCAACCTGGGCGAAATGTAAGTTGCACTGCTGCGAACTGTAGCGGGGTTGAGGATCCGTTTAGCATTGTGCTTAATTATTTGAGGACGCTTTGAGGCTCTTGATACTATTGTGCAGATATCTTGATAGCAACAATTTCCATGGAACTATCCCATCCGGCCTGCTTCGGCTACCCGGTTTGAACTCGCTGTAAGTAGCTCCAATATACCCGTTTCACAAGATTATTTTCTTCCACCTTGTGAAGATCTGAGTATGCATACAAAAGTAATCCCTGATATGTCAAATGGTATTTTGCAAGTTCTCTGCTCCTCTGCCAAACACCAGATCTGCAATTTTGGATGTTTCTCCCTGCATCTCTCAAGTTTCCAACTTTCCACCCCAAGCTCGCTGTCAGCCTCGCAGAGGCCACAATGCATTCATGTGCTTTGGCAGTATCCTTAACTTCTAACCGCTGCATCCTTAATTTCCTTACGCAGGAGTGTGTTTAACAACTCTCTTTCTGGGGAACTCCCACGGACTCTCAGGGTCACAAGTGCTCTTAACATGCTGTATGAAGTTGAAGCACTGTGTGCTGCCACCACTGTGTGTGTTGCCACCATTGTGTGTGCCTGGTACAACGCTGTCCCTTCATGGTTAACTTTAAAGCCCCTGGAATCTTCGTCTCCCTTTGATTTGACATGTGCAGTGACCTGGGAGGAAATGACTTCACGGGCTCCTTACCAGACTTCTCACACTGGAACGTCAGCTGTGGAGACATGTAAATAAGCATTCTCACACTCTCTTCCTCCTTTCCCATTCCTACGCCTGCTCAATCTTGGTCTTAGCACCACCAGGGTGCAAAATTGCGCCTTTTTTTTTTTTTTTTGTAGGGGTAGAAATTGTCAAAATTCGATGGGTGCAAATCGTACTTGCATTTCGCTGCCAGATCTGTGCAGAGCCTGGGTGAAAGCTGGTTTCTGTACCTGACCCGGGGGCTTGCCAGGCTTGACCCGGTCCTTTAAGGCCGAATCGGGCCAGGTTTTTGGAAACTCCGACTCGGGAAGACTGGACCTGACCCGACCCGGTACCCGCTGGCCCGCCCAAATCGGGTCAGGTCGGGTCGGGTCAAATGCGCATTTTTGCATAGTGCATTGCACCCATAGTAAGTTTTTGCGTTCACCCCACTCACCACAGGCTATCTGGCTGTTGCCTCGCCTTTGTTGTGGCGCAGAAATCTCAGCGGCAACAACTTCACAGGATCGATTCCCGACTCCATCTCCACCCTCACCACACTCTTTGGCATGTGAGGCCTCTCTTCCTTTTGCTGTGCCACAACTGGATTGTCCCCAACTGCCTCATTGGCATGTGAGGCTTCTTATGCCACAACGAGCCGTAATGTCTGCCATGAGCACTTATGTGTGGAGCTATTCCCATCTGAACAAGGTGGGATGTCGTGTAGAAAGTCACCGTCGAGCCTTTGCAGTGGCACGCAGCCTATGGCAGGAGAAAGGTTGCAGTAGCACGCAGCCTATGGCAGGAGAAAGGTTGCAGTAGAATGCAGCCTATGGCAGGAGAAAGGTTGCAGTAGCATGCAGCCTATGGCAGGAGCCTATGGCAGGAGAAAGGTAGCAGTGGCGACCTATGCGCACGCATCTAAATACTCTTAATTCGCACTTCCAACCAATGTACCCTGTTGCTATTCCCTGCTCTGCAGTTTTCTCAACAACAACCAGCTAACTGGCACCATCCCTTCAGCCATGTTCAACATGAGGAATCTGACATACCTGTGAGCCTCATGTGCCCTTTTTAAGTGCCCATCACACGTTCCTACCTCTGCCCAATGGCACTATGCCCTCTTGCATACGCTGCTTCTCATCGGAATGTCTCCCTGCCATTGCCATTGCCCTTCAGCTACTTGGCCAACAACCATCTGACTGGCAGTCTGCCAGCTGCCATCAGCCAACTAAAGAACCTTGAACAGATGTGAGGGTGCTATGTTCCTTCCTCTACAATTCTCAAGAACGGTGGCAGCTTAGGAAACAACATGGGCATCACAAGCACAAGCTTGTAGGACGTCGGTTCTATAAGAGACCATGAGACCACGATCTAGCAAACTTCCTCACCGTGAAAGGAACACAAGAGACCAATACACGCAAACTTAACTTGTGCCATCCCCACTCCACCCCCTGCTCTTTATACGACCGTTTCCGCCTTTGTTCCTGCCAATGCCCTGCCTGTCACCCCAGCTGGTTGGACAACAACAAGATCGAGGGCCATCTGCCAACTGGCATGTGCTCGCTGCCCTGGTTGTGGCGCGTGTGAGTGACAGTCATACACTTGATTGTTTTTTCTTTTTCTTTTTTTTTTTAGCTTGCCAGCCAGGACTTACTTCTCTCCTGTTTTCATAATTTTGGAGTTGGAGATTGAATAAATCTGTGAAGTAGTTTCACTTTTGTGTGTTTTCCTTTCTGTGTGGGTGTGCGACTCATGGCGCGGCATGGTGTGTGCCGTGCTGCTTGCAGCTTGATCAGCAACAACTCCCTCTATGGACCCCTGCCAGACTGCCTCTTTGACAAGTGTATCACACAAATGTGAGCCTACCATGCATACACTAATCTCAGTACCATCCATGACAGCTCGCACCCTCAACATGGGCATTGCACAGACATTATCTGGTGGGACGGCCTCCGATCAGACACTCAATATCATCTTCCGCCCTCCACGACCCCCCTGTGCTTCCGCAGTGATGTGAGCAGCAACAGCCTGTATGGGCGCATCAATCGCGACTTCGTGAACATAGGGGCGGATGACAATGCCCTCGTCAACCTGGCTCACAACTTCTTCTTCGGAGATGGGGTGCTCTTTGCTGCCGGCTGCAAGGTCTGCCCCACTGAGATCAACGAGCCCAGAAACCTAGGCACAAGGGACACATTTTCATGGGAATATAATGGTGGCAAGTGCGGAAATCTTGCTCTAAACAATCCCGTGATTAATTCGGGCAAGACGACGAGGGTGAGTCTGTCGGGCAACTGCCTGACCCTCACCCCGAACAACAAGTGCTCATCCAACGCCACCCAGCGCAGCACAGCGGCCTGCCAGGCGTTCTGCAGCATCACAGACAACGGCCCGTGTGACGGCCACGGGGCGTGTGTGCCGGCTGACCCCGCCTCCCCCTCCAACTTCACGTGCCTCTGCGATGCGGGGTACACCACAGTCGACTCGAGCAACGGCTCCTCCACATGCGCCATCGTCCACTCCACCACCACCACCAACACTGGTAACCTTTGCTTCATTCTTACAGCTCCACATTTCATTCCTATGTTCTGCACCGGTTACCACGTTTCATGAGGCTTCTGCTATACACACATTTATCACCGCCCCATGTCCCTTCCTTGGCAGTGTCGTCTCTGTCCATGGGTGCCATAGTGGGCATTGTTCTTGGCTGTTTTGCTGGCTTCACTCTGCTGGCTGTGGTGGTTGCATGGCTGCTGTGGCCCCGCGGACCAAGTGAGCCCCTCGTCCCTTTTTCAGTTCCATTCCATCTCCCCCATTCCTTCACCTATTTCCTGGCTTCCTTCCCTGCTCCTCAGCTCTCCCAATTTCGTGCACTAAATTTTTGCTTCTCCACTGAATTCATGCTCTATCTACTTATCTTCAACCTTAGTCCCTCACAACTCTGGTCTAGGGTTTTTCTGTGCGCAGAGAAGTGGGAGGGGCTGGATGTTTGCGAGCAATTTACGCTGCAGCAGATGCTGAGTGCCACCAACAACTGGTCGGAGGACAATGTGTTGGGCAAGGGCGGCTTCGGCATTGTCTACAAAGGCCGCTCGCCACAGGGCCAGCTGTGGGCCATCAAGCGATCCACCATCATGACCAACGACTTTGAAACGGAGGTGAAACATGCCTGTAATTCTCTGTGTACAAAAAAGGCCGTCGTGAGAAAACACGGCACTCTCTGCTTCCCAAAATGCTGACCTGCAAATGGATGTCTTGCCCTTTCATGCCAATATGCATCTGCGTGCTTGTTGCAGGTGCGAGCCATGGCCTCTCTCCACCACACACACCTCGTGCGCCTGCTGGGCTTCTGCCTGGACCAGAACGTGGAGACGGGCAAGCAGGAGCAGATCCTCGTGTACGAGTTCATGGCCAACAGGGACCTCGAGTACCATATCCACAGGTCCAAGCGTGAGTCGCACTAGCACAATCGTAGAACGGCATTTGTTGTTTGTTTCTTTTGTTTTTTGTTTTTTTTCGGCAAAGGACATGACACCACCACTCATGAAATCATGTGTTCTGCTTGGCATACATGTTTCATGGCCCAGGTCCACTCTCGCTGCGCCAGAGGTTGCGCCTGGCACAGGGAGCAGCAGAGGGCCTGGCGTACCTGCACGGGTTTGACACACCCATCGTTCACCGCGACATCAAGCCGGCCAACATCCTTGTGTCTGCCGACATGCAAGCCAAGGTGGCTGACTTTGGGCTGCTCAAGCGCCTCACTCACGGCGATGCTGATGCCACTCGGGTGGCCGGCACTCCGGGCTATGTCGACCCGGATTACAACCGCACCAACGTCATCACTGTCAAGAGTGACGTGTTTAGGTGCGCATGCTTGTTCTTTCGCACAACACGATTGTGCTTTTTTTTTTTTTTTTTTTTGGGTAAATCTTTCAGGCTATGCCCTGTTGCTTTCTTTACCACTGTACATGCTTGTTCCTTTCCATGACACAATGAACTTGTGCACTTTTTGTTTATCCCCTTGGCTATATTGAGTTCGTGTACCTTGTATTGCTATCTCTACATATGTCCACTTCTTTGCACACAATGGATGATTATTGGCAGCTTTGGAATCGTGCTTCTTCAGCTGCTGAGTGGCAAGTCACCCCATGTCGACCCAAAAACACATATAAGAAAATGGGTATGCACATCAAGTATGAAACTCTTTGTTGTTATGGATACGAGTTGGAAACTTGCACAGAAAGGGTACGCTGATAAGATGTAGAATTCGTCTGACTTCGTTACTTTATGGCTGAACGTTTATCCTGGACTTCCTTTTGTGCTGATTTTCACTGCTTCCTTTGTCGTCATGCTGGTTTTCACTGTCTTTCCTTGTTGCCATGTTGGCTTTCACTGCCTTCCTTTGTTGCCATGCTTGCTTTCAATGCCTCTCCTTGTTGTCTTGCTGCCTTCCACCTCCCTTGCTGCTTTGCTTGCTGCTTTGCTTGCTGCTTTGCATTGCCTCACTATTCATAATCCATTCGTGTTACGTGTACATTGCCCTCCAGGCTATGAAGCTGGTGGAGGCGTATGAGGTGGATGAGCTGAAGGACAGCAAGATGCCGCCAGTAAGTGAGGAGGCCATAGTGGACTTTGCAGACCTGGCTCTGGACTGCATCAAGTCTCCCGGCACACGGCGACCCACCATGAAGGATGTGGCATACCGCCTCAGTGCCCTCATTGACAAGCACTGCCCCGACAAGGAGGAGTGGGAGAATGTTGTGACAGAAGAAGGGACAAGCAACCAAGGGATGCCTTTTGAGTTGTCTGGAGATGGAGGGATCCTGAGAGGTCTCATGGCTCACAGTCTGGTGTGGTCTCATTCACGGGTACTTTCTCGATGAGTGATAGCCTCAAGAGCTGGCTGCAATTGAAGCCATCCATAGGGCGTTGAGTTTGCCCATAATGGTTGCATGTTAGCTGCTTAGCACGGAGGAACTAGAATTCGGGGTATAGGTAGGTAGTACATTAATAAAAAGGAATCTGGTGGCTACTCATCATGCACCAGTATGAATGGCTGGCCTGATATTGTATCAGTTGTGAGGCAGGAGACATTTCCATGAATCTGGGATCTGGAAACAAGAATGGCATGAGATGAGTGTCAGCCGAGCTTTGTGTTGTACATGGAGGGCATACTACACTGAGCGCCATTGGCACATGCATTACCGTACATCGATGTGCATACTCGTTGGCTAGTACCCACGAGGCTGCAATTCACCCTCTGTCATTCATAGATTGCAGGAAACGTGAGTGAGCGGAGCGGGGAGCCTCATAAGTCTGGAATGAAATGTATGCCAAGCCGTGTAGCAAGAGGTTTGCCCCACAAGCAGCCCACAATGGCAGTGTTGCCACGCCACCATCGCTCTTGTCATCCTTAACAGTTGTCATCGTCATGTCATGTCATCATGCCCCCCACTATCAGTTGTCTTTTGAGACGTTTCAAAAACCACCATCGCTGTTGTCAGCGTCATGCCACGTCGTCATGCCCGACACTGTCAGTTGTCCAGCACCAGAATCTCTGCGTCGTGCCCTCTGTGAACAGACGAAGCAGCAGCATAAGGGAATGGGAAGAGTGGGAGCAGGGCAGGGAGAGGATGAAACACAGCAGCAGCAGAGCACACAGCAGCAGAGCACACAGCAGCAGAGCACACAGCAGCAGAGCTCACGGCAGCAGAGCACACAGCAGCAGGGCACACAGCAGCAGAGCACACAACAGCAGAGCTCACAGCACCAGAGCACACAGCAGCAGAGCATGTTAGAATCTAGAGACAGGAATGGATGAAACCCTAATTTGGGTTGTACCCCATATGGGCTACCCCACTACAGCCTACACAATAAGCAGCATATATGTTTGACACACCCCCATAGGCAAAGTGGGGGAGAACAAGGGGTCACAAGACCAGTCAAGAAAAGCAAAGCAAGCTCAGGATGGATCACAACGTCACCACACACACTGAGCACAAGCAAAGGGCCACAAGGCCAGTCCACATGCAGAGATATATATATGCAACAAGAGCAGTACAGTGATCAATACCTAGCAAGAGCAAGCATGCAGGTATAAATATAGAGCACAGTACACACAAAGGCTACAGCAAGTGTGGAAACGTAGGCACAAGGCCTAACAAAGTACAAAAGCGCTGATGATCACCAGACAGAAGTGCCTTGGTGAATATATCAGCAGTGTTGGCCCGAGTGGCCATGTGTGCAAGACGAAACTGACCACGCTGCTGCAACTCTCGAGCCAGGAAGTAACGCAGAGCGATGTGCTTCGTTCTGTGCTCCAGTCTGTGCTCCTCACACAAGGCAATGGCAGCCTTGTTGTCGACGTACAGACATGGAGGAGAACGAGGCCGCAATCCCAGGTCAGTCAGCAGGTAGGTGAGCCAACGCAACTCCTGTGCAGCCATGGCTGTGGCGTAGATCTTAGCCTCACAACTGGAGCTGAGAACTGAAGACGAGCGAGTAGAACGCCAAGAAACAGAACCAGAGCCAAGGCTGAAAGTGTAACCCTGTGACGACCGCTGTGTAGTCTGGTCGTCAACCCAAGAAGCGTCTGAGTCTCCAGTGAGGACCACGTCTCTCTGTCCTCCAAGCACGAGCCCCATGCCCGATGTACTGCACAAGTAACGTAGTACCCTCTTTGTGGCATCCATGTGCACCTTTCGGTGCCGACCAGGAGCCACGTAGCGTGCCAGAAGGCCAAGAGGGTACGCGAGGTCAGGACGAGTGCAGGTCATCAGGTACATGAGGCAGCCCACTAGCTCTGGGTAAGGACCACTCGGCTCTACGGACTCGTCCGAAGGTGGAGCTGAGAGCGAGTGACCTGTAGCCAGAGGAGTGGACTGTGGCGAGGACCAGGTGAAGCCGAAGCGCTGAAGGACTTGCTGCACCATGTGTGACTGAGTCAGAGTGATGGTGCGGCGTGCTCTGTCCCGGGTGATCTGCAAGCCAAGGTAACTGCGCAGCTCACCCAGGTTTGTGCACGTGTGTCTCTTCTGCAGCTCCGACTTCACCAGGGCGAGAGCCTCAGTGTCAGCAGTGGCAAAGACCAAGTCGTCGACGTACACGAGGATATAGAACGGCGGCAGCGAAGTGTCGGTGCGCAGGAACAACGACGGGTCAGCAGTCGAAGGAGCAAACCCAAGAGCCGCAAGTGTAGTCTTCAGTGTGTCGTGCCACTCACGAGGCGCCTGGCGGAGACCGTAGACTGGCCGCCGGAGGCTCCACTGGGTACCAGGAGGGAACGACCTAGTGAAGCCAGGTGGGCGGCGCAGTCAGATCTCCTCGTGCAGGCTGCCCTGTAAGAAGGCTGTGCTGAAGTCCAGCGAGTGAAGCTCGTAGTCACGCTGAGCGGCAACGTGCAGCAGCACCCAAAGGGTGGTCATCTTCGGGGTGGGGGAGAAGGTCTGAAAGAAGTCAACCCCCTCTCGCTGACTGAAGCCTCGAGCAACGTAACGAGCCTTGAAGGCAGGCGGAGAACCCGGCGGCCGCTTCACCCTGAAAATCCACATGCCATCGACGATGTTCGCCCCGGGAGGGGGAACCTCATCGACGTAAGTGCCTGTGGACTTCCATGATGCCATCTCTGCGTCCATGGCTGTCTGCCACTGAGAGGAGTACTCACCCGCGATCGCCTCAGCGTAAGAGCGCGGGGTCGGGATGTCTGGTGCATCCAGGTCTCCCTCAGGGGCAAGCAGCATGGCCACGAGATGAGGCGCAGCGGTTGCAAGACACTCAAGGTCCTCGTGCCTGTCCTCAAGGACGTCCGTGCCAAGAGCACAGTCACCCCCGACGGACGGAGGACAGACAGACCCAGACTCAGCAACAAGACTGGCAGCGTAGTCTAGACGACAGGCAGCAGCAAAGTCAACAAGCTCAGCGACCAAGGCAGACGCAGCAGCAGACTCAAACGACGGGTCAGTGACAACAGTGGCAAGCAGACGCGTGACAGTAGGGTGCTCAGCACGAAACCGGTCAGACGCAGGGTCCGCGATGACAGGCAGAGAGGACGCAGGGGGAGACGGAAGAGGAGTACGCTCCGGAGTAGAGGACCGACGCAGGGCGACAAGGCGGGTGCCGGGGACAGCCGGCTGACGCTGACGAGGAACACGACGACCGGTACGACCAGGACGAACAGGCGAGACAGGACGCGACGCAGGCTCACGACGCTCAGTAAGACCCCCTGCCTGCTCAGTGTAAGGAGAAGGAGCAGGCAGCGGTGAGCCAAGCTGTAACGGAAGACCAGTAGACGAAGGGAGACTAAGAACCTGGCGAAGCACAGAGTCAGGCGGTGGCTGAGACGACGGAGACGGTGGAGCAAAGAACAGGCGCGGCTGTGCAGTGCCACCAGCACCAGTAGCTCCAGCACCCCCAGCAGCTCCAGCACCTCCAGCAGCTCCAGAAACCTCAGCTCCAGCTCCTCCTGGACCGGCTCCACCAGCAGCAGCACCCCCAGAACCGGCACCCCCAGTCCCAGGGTCTCCAGCAGCAGCACCCGCAGGCTCAGCACCTCCAGCCCCAGCAGCTCCAGTACACCCAGCAGTAGAGCCCCTAGCTCCAGAAGCGCGACCCTGACGGCGACCGAACCAGTCGTGCAGCTGCTGTGAGGTGAGAGGCACACGCGGACGAAGGCGTCAACTCCAAGGAGACCGCGCAACAGCAGACTCAGAACCCTCAGCGCCAGCACCTCCAACAGCTCCAGAACCACCAGTGCCAGCACCCTCAGCAGCGGCTCCAGAACCTCCAGCGCCAGCACCCTCAGTGCCAGCACCCTCAGCAGCTCCAGAACCTCCAGTGCCAGCACCCTCAGCAGCTCCAGAACCACCAGCTCCAGTGCCACCAGCAGCTCCAGAACCTCCAGCGCCCGCACCCTCAGCAGCCGCAGAGCCTCCAGTAGAAACAGCTCCAGGAGCAGAGTCACCAGCTCCAGCGCCTCCCGTAGGAGGGTCCCTAGCTCCAACAGCGCGACCCGGACGGCCAAGGTACCCCTCAAGCAGCTGCACTGAGGAGAGGGGGAGTCGACGACGAGAGGGCAGCGGTGAGGCACCAGCGGAGCGACTGCGGAGACGGCCGCTCCAGGGAGACTGCTCACCAGACGCCTCAGCACCCCCAGGCGCAGCACCCCCAGACTCAGCACCGCCAGACTCAGCACCCCCAGACCCCTCACACGCAGGCTCAGCACCTCCAGGCTCCACACCCTCAAGCTCCGCACCCCCAGGCTCAGCACCTCCAAGCTCAGCACCCCCAGGCTCCGCACCCCCAGGCTCAGCACCCCCAGAAGCAGCACCCCGAGCAGGACCACCCCCAGCAGGACCTGAGTCACCAGTGACCTCAACCGGCGCAGGGAAGGGAGGAGGGTCTACCTGAGACACACCTGAAGGAGCAGGACCGGGAGCGGGGAGGGGGTCTACCTGGGGAGCACCTGGAGCGAGGAAGAGCAGCGAGGGGGGGGGAGAGGGGCAGTGCGGTAGGGGAAGAGACGGTAAAAGGGAACCGACTCGTCGAACGTGACGTCCTGAGACGCAAAGACACGACGCGAGGTGGGGTGGTAGAACTGCCAACCAGGCGCGTCAGGGACAAAGCCAAGGAAGACACAGGGAACAGCGCGGGCGGAGAGCTTGTCCGCAGTGGTATCGCGGACAAAGGCACGAGCACCCCAGACCCGGAAACGCGATGCATCGCCAACCTTCCCCGTCCACAGCAGTGTGGGCAAGGTCTCCGGCAAGGAGACACTGGGCCAGAGGTTGAGCTGATGCGCGGCGTACCAGACCGCAAACGGCCACAGAAAATGGGGGGCAGCCGCATGGATCATGGAGGTACGAGCGACCTCCATGACTAAGCCAATGCGGCGCTCAGCAACCCCATTCTGCTGCGGAGAGGCCGGAAGCGTGAATGTCTGGCGGATGCCGTGCTCCGCACAGAAGGCTGCCAAGAGGTCTGAGGTGAACCCACCACCTCTGTCAGAGTGCAGACGCAGGACAGGAAAGTCCCGCTCGAACCGCTCGCGGAGCTGGAGACGAACAGTGCGGATCCAAGGGATCAAAACATCAGGGACCTCACCCTTGGTGCGCAAGGGGAAGACCGTGGTGTAACGCGTGTAGTCGTCGACGACCAGCAGGAAGTACCGCCCTTGGCCCTGTCCACGGACGCGGGCTGGGCCCCACACGTCCAGGTGGAGAGTCTGCAGGGGAGCCTCTGTGGGAGGGAACGAGGAGGAGTGAGGAGCGGCGCGCTGCCGCCCCTCAACGCAAGGAATGCAGGGCGGCGCAGGCGAGGGAGGGAGGGCAGGCAGAGACCTGGGAAGACCAGAAACCAGGGAGCGAGAGTGCATGCCACGAAGGCGCTGCACCGAGGGGTGACCAAGGCGGTGGTGCCACAGGAGGGTCTGGTGCGACAAAGCGCGACACTCGCAGGGGGCTGCCAGCTGACCTGACGCAGACGCAGACGCAGCTACCTGAGGGGACTCAGTGGTCAGTGTGTACAGACTCGAGCCAGGCGCACGGGTAAACGTGGCCAGGTGTCGGCCCGTCCGAGCACACGTACAGTGAGTCACTCGCTGACTCGCAGGAGTGAACTGGTGAACCCCTCCATCCTGGAGGTCAGCTCCCGCCACCAAGTTCGTAGAGAACGAGGGGAGGTAAAGACCTGACAGCAAGCCAGACGAGACGGCTGGACACGGCAGAACCGTGGAGTCCGCCAGGGAGACTGGAACTGGCCGACTAAGCGGCGTGAGTGTGGTGCAGTCGCGAAAGAAGGAGCAGGAAGCTCCTGAGTCAAGGGTGAAGGTGTGCAAGACCGCAGCAGGCGCAGTACCAGAGAGAGCAGACTCACCAGCACCTGGAGCAGCAGCCTCACCAGCACCTAGAGCAGGAGACGCACGAGCACCTAGAGCAGCAGCCTCACCAGTACCTAGAGCAGGAGACGCACTAGCACCTAGAGCAGCAGCCTCACCAGTACCGAGAGCAGCAGGCGCTATACCAGGGTCAGGCGGTACGCACAGGTAACAGGCACGGTCAACACTAGTAGGCAATGCATACATGGCAGTGAGAATAGCATCATAGTCAAGAGCAAAGATATCTACCCTCTGTCCAAGCAGCTCCACCCAGGTAGGGAGCTCAGCCTCGTCGCCAAACACGGTACGCCAGGCGTCGCTCAGACGGGCGAAGCAGCGGGACGGTGTGTGACCAAGCGTCCCGCAAGGCTGACCAGTCCTAACACCTGTGCGAATGACGTACGGGCAGCGAACTGTACTCGAAGACCTGCTACTCTGAGCGTACCACTCATGGAGCTGCTGGGACGTAAGTGTCTCGCGTGGACGCCCCTGCAGCTGTAGCTGGCCACTGCCAGACGCCCCCAACTGACCAGCTCCAGGGCGACAGCTACGACGGCTACCGCGACAGCCCCATCTAGTATACCACTCATCAACCTGTTGGGGCGTGAGAGACTCGCGTGAACGTCGCTGGAGCTGCATCTGGCCGGCAGGCGGGCAGGCAGGCAGGCAGGCAGGCAGGCAGACAGGCAGGCCGGCAGGCAGACAGGCAGGCAGGCCGGCAGGCAGGCAGGCAGGCAGGCAGGCAGGCCGACAGGCAGGCAGGCAGGCCGGCAGGCAGACAGGCAGGCAGGCCGGCAGGCAGGCAGGCAGGCAGGCCGGCAGGCCGGCAGGCAGACAGGCAGGCAGGCCGGCAGGCAGGCAGGCAGGCAGGCCGACAGGCAGGCCGGCAGGCAGACAGGCAGGCAGGCAGACAGGCAGGCAGGCAGGCCGGCAGGCAGACAGGCAGGCAGGCCGGCAGGCAGGCAGGCAGGCAGGCAGGCAGGCAGGCAGGCCGGCAGGCAGACAGGCAGGCAGGCAGGCAGATTCTCACCAAAGGCTGGAAGGGCAGGCGTTCGGCGGGCGAGCAGGGCCGGCGCTCGGCGGGCGGCGGCCGGGTAGGCGCACGACGGCGGCGACGGCGGGGCCGCAACAGCGGCTGCAGAGTAGGGCCGCGGCAGCTGCAGGGCGGGGCCGCATCAGCGGCAGGTCGGGGCCGTGGCAGCTGCAGGGCAGGGCCGCATCAGCGGCAGGTCGGGGCCGAGGCAGCTGCAGGGCGGGGCCGCGGCAGCGGCAGGTCGGGGCCGCTTCCCTGGCCTGGCGGGTCTGCGGGAGCGGTGCACGTGGCAGCAGCGGGCCACGCGCGGGCTCACGGCGGACTGCGGGAGGCAGCAGTAGCGGGCCGCGCGCGGCTCGGCGCGGGCTGCGCGGGCCGCGCGGGCTCAGCGCGGGCTGCGCGGGCCGCGCGCGGGGCTGCTGCGGGCCGCGCGCGGGCTGCGCGCGGCAGCAGCGGGCTGCGCGCGGCTCGACGCGGGCTGTGCGGGCTCGGCGCGGGCTGCGCGTGGCAGTAGCGGGCTGCGCGCGGCTCGGTGCGGGCTGCGCGCGGCTCGGTGCGGGCTGCGCGCGGCTCGGGGCGGGCTGCGCGCGGCAGTAGTGGGCTGCGCGCGGCTCGGCGCGGGCTGCGCGGGCTCGGTGCGTGCAGGAAGGCGCGCGCGGGCTGCAAGGGCGACGCGCAAGGGACAGCAGCAGACAGTGCGTGTGAATTAGGTCTGCGAGCTAAGCAGCAGCAGACAGCGCAGACAGTAGACAGTCACAGGCTCATTCGTGGGGTAGCGGTAGGTGGGCCCGAAAAAAAAACGGTCCTACGGACCTACTGCTCTGAAACCATGTTAGAATCTAGAGACAAGAATGGATGAACTAGCAGCAGGATGGGTACAAGTATGAAACCCTAATTTGGGTTGTACCCCATATGGGCTACCCCACTACAGCCTACACAATAAGCAGCATATGTGTTTGACAGAGCACACAGCAGCAGAGCACACAGCTCCTGCCCCACATGAATGAGCAGCTTGCCATTAGACACGTTCACAACCAGCCCTGCACTACTCACAGCGCATGCGTGCGAATCAGCAGGTCCCCCTCTCTGCGCCGGGGCACCCCGTCCCGATCCATGTGCTTGCTTGGCTGAGTCTTGCCTCGCCGCAACGCCTGCCCACTGCCTGCTCCACCTTCGCTGCTCCCCTCGCTTCTTCTGCCGCCCTCCCTCACTGCTGGCGTCACTGCCTGCTGGTGTGCCCTCATCCCCCTCTCCTGCCTCCTGTCAGTCCGTGAGCGTCGCATGGGAGGTGGCAGGAAAACCAATCCCGCATCATGTTTCGCACATACTCTCACCAGTACCTGCCCAGCCATTGTGGGCTGCTTGTGGGGCAAACCTCTTGCTACATGGCTTGGCATACATTTCATTCCAGACTTATGCGGCTCCCCACTCCGCTCACTCATGTTTCCTGCACTCTACGCCAGGTTGTTTCTGTCCATCCACCATCGTGAATGGCAGCCATCGTGAATGCAAGTGCCAATGGCTTTCAGTGTAGTATGCCCTCCCATGTACAGCACAAAGCTCGGCTGACTCTCATCTCATACCATTCTTGCTTCCAGATCCCAGATTCATGGAAATGTGTCGCCTGCCTCACAACTGATACAACATCAGGCCGGCCATTCATACTGGTGCATGACGAGTAGCCACCAGATCCTTTTTTATTAGTGTACTACTTACCTATACCCCGAATTCTAGTTCCTCCATGCTAAGCAGCCAACATGCAATCATCATGGGCAAACTCAACGCTCTTTGGCTGGCTTCATTTGCAGCCAGCTCTTGAGGCTATCACTCATCGAGAAAGTACCCGTGAATGAGATCACAGAAGACTGTGAGCCATAAGACCTCTCAGGCTCCCTCCCTCCATCTCCAGACGACTCAGAAGGCATCCCTTGGTTACTTGTCCCTTCTTCTGTCACAACATTTTCCCGCTCATCCTCCTCGTTGGGGCAGTGCTTGTCAATGAGGGCACTGAGGCGGTATGCCACATCCTTCATGGTGGGTCGCCGTGTGCCGGGAGACTTGATGCAGTCCAGAGCCAGGTCTGCAAAGTCCACTATGGCCTCCTCATCTACTGCCGGCATGTTGCTGTCCCTCAGCTCCTCCACGTCATACGTCTCCACCAACTTGACTGCCTGCAGGGTGTCCATGCGAGGTAGTGAGGTGTGTGAAAATATGCAGTGCGGTGGAGGGAAAAGGTAAGGGATTGCCTGCTGGGCTATTATGCAAGAATGGATGATGAATGAGAGAGGCAGTGGAAAGCAGCATGATAAGCAACATCGGAGACTAAAGGAAGCATCATAATAGGGAAAGGCAGTAGAATCCAGGATAAACATGATTTAAGAGAATAACCGTGCAGCCACAAAAGATTGAGGCGAATATGGGCATCCTCATTCCCTTATTTTCGTTTTGTTTTGCTTTGCTTTTTTTGGCAGGAGCATTTCATACTTACCCATTTGCCTATATGTGTTTTTGCGTTGACTTGGGGAGTTTTTCCACTCAGCATTTGAAGAAGCACGATTCCAAAGCTGCAGACAATCATGGAGCAGGGGTAGAGAGAGCAATGGAGGGTACGGGCAATCAACATAACCTGAGAAAAAACAAACAAACAAACAATGGCGTTGTGCAAAAGAACAATACCCGCACCTGTACACGTCACTCTTGACAGTGATGACGTGGGTGCGGACATAGTCCGGATCCACATAGCCCGGAGTGCCGGCCACCCGAGTGGCATCAGCATCGCCGTGAGTGAGGCGCTTGAGCAGCCCAAAGTCAGCCACCTTGGCTTGCATGTCGGCCGACACAAGGATGTTGGCGGGCTTGATGTCGCGGTGAACGATGGGTGTGTCAAACCCGTGCAGGTACGCCAGGCCCTCTGCTGCTCCCTGTGCCAGGCGCAACCTCTGGCGCAGCGAGAGTGGACCTGGGCCATGAAACATGTATGCCAAGCAGAACAGATGATCTCATGAGTGGTGGTGTCATGTCCTTTGCCGAAAAAAACAAAACAAACAAACAAACAAATGCCGTTCAACAATTGTGCTAGTGCGACTCACGCTTGGTCCTGTGGATATGGTACTCGAGGTCCCTGTTGGCCATAAACTCGTACACGAGGATCTGCTCCTGCTTGCCCGTCTCCACGTTCTGGTCCAGGCAGAAGCCCAGCAGGCGCACGAGGTGTGTGTGGTGGAGAGAGGCCATGGCTCGCACCTGCAGTGAGAGCACAATGAAGGCAGGTGCACATGGGCATGAAAAAGTGAGACATGCATTTGCAGATCAGCAGTTTGGGAAACAGAGAGTGCCATGTCTTTTCTTGTTGTGGAGAGAGGCCATTGCTTGCACCTGCAGCATGGATTCACATGGAACAAGATCAGCATTTTGGGAAGCAGAGAGTCTCGTGAAGTCTTTTTTCGTGCAAAGGGAACTAGAGGCATGCCTCACCTCCGTTTCAAAGTCATTAGTCATGATGGTGGAGCGCTTGATGGCCCACAGCTGGCCCTGTGGCGAGCGGCCTTTGTAGACAACGCCAAAGCCGCCCTTGCCCAGCACATTGTCCTCCGACCAGTTGTTGGTGGCACTCAGCATCTGCTGCAGCGAGAACTGCTCACACACGTCCAGCCCCTCCCACTTCTCTGCGCACAGAAAAGAATCAGACCAGAGGTGTGAGAGACTAAGGGTGTAGATGCGTGGACAGAGGATGAGGGCAGAGCAGAGGGGAGCATGAGGGCAGAATAGAGGCGAGCATGAGGGCAGAGGAGAGGCGAGCATGAGGGCAGTGGAGAGGCGAGCATGCGGGCAGAGAATAGGCGAGCATGAGGGCAGTGGAAAGGCGAACATGAGGGCAGAGAAGAGGCGGGCATGAGGGCAGTGGAGAGCGAAAATTGGGAGAGGTGGGGAGTCGGGAAGGAAGCAAGGAAAGTGCCGACTAATGGTGTAGTTGAGTGGAAAGAGCATGTGGACAGTAAAGAGCCAGAGTTGAAGTGTAGGAGAAATGGCAGAGCAGGGGAGCAGGGAAGGAAGCCAGGAAAGTGGTGCAGCAATGGGGGAGATAGAATGGAAGTGAAGAGTTTGAGGGGCTCACTTGGTCCGCGGGGCCACAGCAGCCATGCGACCACAGAAGCCAACAGGGAGAAGCCAGCAAAGCTGCCCAGCACAATACCCACTATGGTACCCGTGGACAGAGACGACACTGCCAAGGAATGGACATGGGGCAGTCATAAACATGTGTATAGCAGAAGCCTCATGAAACGTGGTAACCGGTGCAGAACATAGGAATGAAATGTGGAGCTGTAAGAATGAAGCAAGGGTTACCATAGTTGGTGGTGGTGGTGGAGTGGACGATGGCACACGTGGAGGAGCCGTTGCCCGAGTCAACAGCACTGTACCCCGCGTCGCAAAGGCACGTGAAGTTGGAGGGGGAGGCAGGGGCAGCCGGCACACACGCCCCGTGGCCGTCACACGGGCCGTTGTCCGTGATGCTGCAGAACGCCTGGCAGGCTGCCGTGCTGCGCTGGGTGGCGTTGGATGAGCACTTGTTGTTCGGGGTGAGGGTCAGGCAGTTGCCCGACAGACTCACCCTCGTCGTCTTGCCCGAATTAATCACGGGATTGTTTAGAGCAAGATTTCCGCACTTGCCACCATTATATTCCCATGAAAATGTGTCCCTTGTGCCTAGGTTTCTGGGCTCGTTGATCTCAGTGGGGCAGACCTTGCAGCCGGCAGCAAAGAGCACCCCATCTCCGAAGAAGAAGTTGTGAGCCAGGTTGACGAGGGCATTGTCATCCGCCCCTATGTTCACGAAGTCGCGATTGATGCGCCCATACAGGCTGTTGCTGCTCACATCACTGCGGAAGCACAGGGGGGTCGTGGAGGGCGGAAGATGATATTGAGTGTCTGATCGGAGGCCGTCCCACCAGATAATGTCTGTGCAATGCCCATGTTGAGGGTGCGAGCTGTCATGGATGGTACTGAGATTAGTGTATGCATGGTAGGCTCACATTTGTGTGATACACTTGTCAAAGAGGCAGTCTGGCAGGGGTCCATAGAGGGAGTTGTTGCTGATCATGCTGCAAGCAGCACGGCACACACCATGCCGCGCCATGAGTCGCACACCCACACAGAAAGGCAAACACACAACACAAAACTGAAACGACTTCATACGTTTTAACAATCTCCAAAATCATGGAAACAGGAGATATTTCCCCCCCCCCCCCCCTTTTTTTTAAGGTCCGTAAGAAAGAATTCCTTTAACAAAAAAAAAAAAAAAACTCCAAAAAAAAATCTATCAAGTGTATGACTGTCACTCACAGGCTCCACAGCCAGGGCAGCGAGCACATGCCAGCTGGCAGAGGGCCTTCAATGTTGTTGTTGTCCAACCAGCTAGGGAGACATACAGAGAATTGGCAGGAACAAAGACGGAAACAATTCCATAAAGAGCAGGGGGTGGAGTGGGGATGGCACAGGTGATGCTTGCGTGTTTTGGTCTCTTGTGTTCATTTCATGGTGTGGAAGTTTGCTAGGTCTGTTATGGTAACGATGTACTGCAAGCTTATGCATGTGCTGTGTGTGTTGCTTCCTAAACTGCCACTGTTCTTTAAAATAGTAGAGGAGGAATGTAGAGGAAGGCACATGGCACGCTTACATCTGTTGAAGATTCTCCAGTTGGCTGATGGCAGCTGGCAGAGTGCCACTCAGATGGTTGTTGGCCAAGTATCTGAAGAGCAACAGCAATGGCAGGGAGACATTCCGATGAGGAGCAGCGTATGCAAGAGGAGTGTAGGCTGGTGCAAGAAAGGAAAGTACCATTGGGCAGAGGTAGGAACGTGTGATGGGCACTTAGAAATGGGATCCCTAAACACATGAGGCTTAGGGATGAGCATAAATCCGGGCTGGGCCCGGCCCGCGTCGGGCCAGCCCGGAATTGCCACGGGCCGGGCCTCAGATTTTGGGTTTCGGCCCGTGGCGGGCCGGGCCGGGCCAGCCCGGGTCGAAACGCGGCCCGGGTCGGGCTGTTCTGGCCCGCCTATTTCCCCTGCGCTTAGTGAACTCTACTTATAAGCTAATAAGGTGCTGATCGAGTAAACCCTATGAGTTGATTTGGTGTCGACTAGATCTCAGGCCAACAAATGCGGCCAGATCTAGTCGACCTGGGTTGGAAATTGATGGTTTGGTTGGAAATTCTAGATTCAGTGCGGTGAAATCCGGTTTCTGTTGTGTTTTGTTGGCATAATTTGAGATTTGAGTCAATTTCGTCAAATCTCAATCACGCGGGGATTTGAACCCCCCAACAAATTTCGCGGGGGTCAAATTTGAGCTGCGCGACAGTTTGCGCAAGCTCTAACGCAGCCCTAGCTTCTCGCCATGTATTTAGATCTCACCTAGCCCGTTTCCCTAACTTATACTCAGTAGTTAGTGTTAGTTAACCGTTTTAAAGTAACGGTTATAAGAAAGGGTGACGAGATAGTGAGTTTTAGCTTAGATTAGGTTAAGATTGAAGGCATTCCGTTTTCGAAAATCATGTGTGACGCTATCGAAAGTGCACCCGGGCCGGGCCCGGCCCGGGTCGGGCCTTGCTTGGCCCGGGTCGGGCCACCCTGGCCCGAGTACTAAATGGGCGGGCTCGGGCCAGGGTCTTGGTCATTCGGCCCGGGTTGGGCCGGGCTTGGCCCGGCCCGGATTTTTTACTGGCCCGGCCTGGCCCGACCCGGGCCCAGCCTGGCCCGGCCCGTGCTCAACCCTAGGCTTACAGGTATGTCAGATTCCTCATGGTCAAGATGGCTGAAGGGATGGTGCCAGTCAACTGGTTGTTGTTGAGAAAACTGCAGAGCAGGGAATAGCAACGAGGTACATTGAATGGAAGTGCGAATTAAGCATGTGTAGCTGCATGTGCGCATAGGCTGCCACTGCTACCTTTCTCATGCCATTGGCTGCGTGCCACTACAAAGGTTCGACGGTGACTTCTGTACACGGCATCCCACCTTGTTCAGATGGGAAAAGCTCCATGGATATGTGCTCATGGCAGGCATCAGAAGGCTCACATTGCTATGCCAACGCATGTGTTTTGGCTCGTTGTGGCACAAGAAGAGAAGAGGAGGCTCACAGGCCAATGAGGGAGGTGAGGGTGGAGATGGAGTCGGGAATCGACCCTGTGAAGTTGTTGGCGCTGAGATTTCTGCGCCACAAACAACACAGGCGAGGCAGCAGCGAGATAGCCTGTCGTGAGTGGGGTGATCGCTACAGCTTACTATGGGTGACCCAACCGACCCGACCTGACCCGATTTGGGCTTGGGTTAGACGGGTACCAGTTCGGGTCAGGTCCAGTCTTCCTGGGTCGGAGTTTCCTAAATCCTGACCCGACCGGGCCTTAAAGGACCGGGTCACGCCTGACCCGCCCCCGGGTCGGTACAGGTACCTATTTTTGCCCAGGCTCTGTGCAGAGCGGGTGAAAGCGCCGATCTGCACAGATCTGGAAGCATAATGCAAGTTAGATTTCCACCCATCGAATTTTGACAATCTCTTAGAATTTTTTTTTAACAGTTAAAGTTTTTCACCAAGATACAATTTCTTTTTTTTTTTCAGACCGAAACTCTCGAAAAGTTCGGGTGAAAATATTGTCCGTGGTTTTTACGCCCAAAAATAAAAAAGAGGCGCAATTTTGCACCCTGATGCTGAGGCCAAGATTAAGCAAGCTTTGTTTAGAGTGAGAAAAGGAGGAAGAGAGTGTGAGAAAACTTATATTACATCTCTGCACAGGTGATATTCCAGCGTGAGAAGTCTGGTAAGGAGCCCGTGAAGTCATTTCCACCCAGGTCACTGCACACAATTCAAAAGAAGACGAAGATTCCATAAAAGTTAACCATGAAGGTACAGCGTTGCACCAGGAACACACAATGGTGGCAACACACACAGTGGTGGCAGCACACAGTGCTTCAACTTCTTACAGTATGCCAAGAGAAGTTGTGACCCTGAGAGTCCGTGGGAGTTCCCCAGAAAGAAAGTTGTTAGACACTTTCCTGGGTTCGGAATTAAAGAGGAGGCTGGATGCAGCAGTTACAAAACCAAGGATACGCCCTAAGCACATGAATGAATCGTGGCCTCTACAAGGCTGACAATGAGCTTGGGGTGGAAAGTTGGAACAGACATGCGGTTGTTTTTCAAAAACTCGACGAGTAAAACTCAACCTGGCTCAGTCAAGTTTTTTTCCAGAGGATTCTCGCACCCGACACTCGACCCGTGACGAGTCCCCCAAACGAGTTGAGTTTCGAAACTCGACTCAATGCACATGTCTGAGTTGGAAACTTGAGAGATGCAAGGAGAAACAAACAAAGCAGGTAGCATGCGAACTCCTGATTTTGGTGTTTGGCAGTGGAGCAAAGTACTTGCAAAATACCATTTGACATATCAGGGATAGTAATATTTACCCTTTAATTGAGAGAAAGACAAGGCGGGAGAAGAGATTCTTCTGAAACATGTGTACTGGAGCTGCTTACAGCCAGTTCAAACCGGGTAGCCGAAGCAGCCCGGATGGGAAAGATCCATGGAAATTGTTGTCATTGAGGATTCTGCACAATGGTAACAATCAAGAGCCTCGATCAAAGTCGCCTCAGAAATTCAAGCACAAGGCTGAACAGATCCTCAACCCCGCTACAGTTCGCAGTAGTGCAACTTACAGGTAGTAAAGGCCGACAAGCTTGGTCAATTCGCGGGGGATAGTCCCTGTGAAACTGTTGTTGGCCAAGTTCCTGCCATTCCATGACCATTTTGATTGCGATTGCCATTTGAGTTGTTCAGTAGGAGGAACTACTGCAAGAAATGGCAGCAGCTACTTCATCAGTGCAACCCGCCTTTGTTTGAGGTCACGCATGGATGCATTACAGGAATACAAGGCTCTTATGCGCAGTTCCGCTGGAAATGAAGCAAACGAGAGCGAGCCGGTTCGGCTCGGTGCTTTGCTTTGCTTGCGTTCTTGCTCCTTTAGTGCAACCCGCTTTTGTTCAACGCCACAAGTGTCTTACCGGAATCCAAGGCCCGTCTGGCGCAGAATAAAATCTGGGAAGGTTCCAGTGAAATGGTTGTTTCCAACATCCCTTAATGAGGCCCACAGCGTGGTTGGGAAATAATGAAACAAATACTTAGGAAAGCACATTCACTCATGTACAGGCCACTGCATACGTGCTTTGGCACTTGCATATGAAGGCAGGAAAACAGTTGTGTGAGTGAAGATATGAAACTGTACAACAACAAGCACACATCCAGCATGAATTGGAATACAAGGCTACATGAATTGATAACCGAAGCACGGGCGCACAAATACTCAGGTGAACTTAGAACAGGGGCAGTCACAACGCTTACTGTTGCAGCAGCATCCCACCCACCCGATTAAGTTCCATGAACGGGGTTGTTGCATTGATGAGTTGAGAGATTGATCGAGAGGACTCACAGATAATAGAGGTAACTGATTGCTGTGAAGGACGCGGGAAGCACACCAGAGAAGTTGTTGTTATTGATCAGTCTGCATAGCCAGTACAGAAGAGAGAGGGTCCTAGCTCAGATGTTGCAGGCAGCCAAAGTGGACCAAGGGAAGCGATGGAAAGCAAGGAGAAAGGAAGCAGGGTGAGGGAAGAAAAAGGAAGCAGGGTGAGGGAAGGAAAAGGTAGCAGGGTGAGGGAAGGAAAAGGAAGCAGGGTGAGGGAAGGGAAAGGAAGCAGGATGAGGGAAGGAAAAGGAAGCAGGGTGAGGGAAGGAAAAGGAAGCAGGATGAGGGAAGGAAAAGGAAGCAGGGTGAGGGAAGGAAAAGGAAGCAGGGTGAGGGAAGGAAAAGGAAGCAGGGTGAGGGCCAGCTGAGGTGGTGAAGAGGGGAGGGGAGAGGACTCACATCTCTTGGAGCCATGTCATCTGAGCCACCACGTCAAGGCCTGAGCTGAGATTGTTGAAAGAAATCTCTCTGTCACGTGGAGCTCGTGCACGCATGCGCATGCCCGCACACACACACACATAGATATAGGCAACCAGCTTAATGCTGGGAAAGTTGCAACTATGGTCAAACGAGGCACAGCAAAGAACAATCAGTAACACGTGACGTGAGGCCCTCCAGTTGATTGTGTTTATGTAGCAGTTTCATGTAGTGGGGGCAGGGAGAGGTATATGGGGGGGGAGAGCAGCTTGCGGAGAGACATACAGACGAGTCATCCCAGTGAGGCGAGTGAAGGTGCTGGGGATGGCTCCTGTGAACTGATTGTAGGACAGCTCACTGCAGCCAGGGCAGCCGAGAGGAACCATTGCAGATTAGAAAGGGAGTGACACAAGATTTGAGAATTGGGGTGAGGCCGAGAGTGCAGGTGGGAGGAGAGCCCAAAGGGTGAATAGGTCCGGAAGTTAGAAGATGAGTGTGTAAAGATGATCAAACATGGGGGCCTCACAGATAAGAGAGGTTGGGTAGTGCCAGCAGGTGTGGTGGGATGGGCCCAGTGAAGTTATTGTGGTCGAGGAATCTGGATAGGCAGACAAGACAGGAGGCAACGAGAGAAAGGGGAAGAAGAGAGGAGCAAAGGATGCGAGGCCATGAGGAATAAGTGAAAGGTGGGAGAGAAGAGGCCATGAGGAATAAGGTTTTGAAAGTACAAAGTGAAGATGGAGTGCAAGGTGGGGGGAAGGGTTGAAGGGCCTGATGGTCACATCAGGACAAGAGAGACGGAAGAGAAGGGCGGATGGAAAACTGAAGTAAACGTGAAAATGCTGCACAGATCAAAAGAGGGAAAAACAGGAAGTGAGAATGGGGTGGTTGTTGTGGCTTGGCATGGCAAGGT